GCTTTACCCAAAATAACAGCAGAACACGTGGATCCAAAAAAAATAAGAAAAATGAAGGTCAAAACTGCTGCGCAAGTGTTGAGTGCTCGTACTGCAGCAATGCTGAATTATACACATGCTGTTCGTAAGTATTAATTTATCTATACTTATTTGTACCTACCAGAAAAGTTTTATTAATTACTTAAACTATTTATTGCTATAAGTTTAAAAATAAAGAATATTTTGAATAAATAATTTATCATAGTTTTTAATTGTTATTATTTCAGATAAGCAGCTCAACAACTGCACAGAGACCATGGACACCACAGCAGCAGTAGTACTGTTTTTTGACGAGTTATTTGACAGCATTAATGGATCACCGGGAGGAATAAAGGGAAAACTGAGATGTGCTGTGAAACAGAATTCTGCACATCAAGATTTTTGGAGAAATGCCATCCTGGAACTAAAGAAAATGAAATTTATTGACATTAAAAGTAAATTCTCTGTACAAGCTGGGAAGCCTAGACATGTGCGTGTTCCATCATTAGATGGGTGGATTATGACTTTGGAGAGCTTTTTAGGATTATCCAAATTATTATTTTCAAAATTTGGGGTTGAATATTTCTACCCCAGATACGTAAATCAAGATCCTTTGGAAAATTTCTTTGGTCGTATTAGAGCTATTAATTATAGGAATACAAATCCTGATGTAAATAGTTTTGTGTACGCTTTTAAATCGTTAGTTTTATCGAATATATTAAGCCCGCACTCAAAATTTTCTAATTGTGAAGAAGACAATGGCGATACACTGATCGATTTGAATTATTTGTTTACGACGTCCACACACGAGTCGCAAGATGACCAAAATATCTCGCCAAACCTTTCGATTGCGCCATTGTCTTCTAGAACAGTTTGTAGTAATATTACCGAAAATGTGATAAATGAGAAAGTGCGGGTTCAAATATCGGCGTATACTGCTGGTTACATATGCAGGAAAATTACAAAAAAATTTAATTGTTACATTTGTGCAAAAACATATGTGACCAAAGAAATACAAGGGATTCATAAATATATCCAATACCGAGAATACAAAAGGTTAAAAAATAACAATTTGGCATATCCCAATGAATTTTTTTTAATACTATATAGAGAATGTTCCCAAGCCATACACAATTATTTAAATAATTATGGTCACAGAAAAGATGTTAAAAAAAATCTTAAAGAGATTTTATTAAAAAAGAATATCTCCTGGCTTGGGTGCAAATCTCACCAATCTAATTTAATAAATTATTTTACAACACTCGTTATACGTCTCCAATGTCATAATTGGTGTAATATTATAAATAAAATTTTAGAAGGCAAATTGGATGAAAAATATGTAAACAAGATGGAGAATATGCAAATTTTAGCATTTAATAAATACAAGACATATAGACTAAGAAAACTTAAACTTAATAAATAATAATTATGATTACTTCAAGTGTTTTAATATACAAATAGTAATAAATTAAATAGCCATCCTAGTCCTACCCTATTCCCATAATTGTCGATAGAGAAACAACACTAAGCATATCGATATCGATAGCATATCATAAATTGGAAGCACTAGTCCTGATTGACATATTAATAATCTGTGGACAGAAACGACCGCAGCGCCACAACTGTTCTTTGCGGAAGCAAGCAAAATTGACTGTCGCATCTGTAGCTTGCTACATATATAGTGATCTGTGGGCTCGTTGTGGTCGTAGGCGTACGTTCTTTGTTTTGAATTCGAAGGTCAAGTTTTTCTTTTGTTGGTTTTTGTATTTAACATGGCACGATGGGGAGATGACAGAACTATTACAGTTCATTACTACTTGTTCCAAAATCTTCCCTTCTACTAATCCAATCTCTTGCCTAAATCCATCTTTGTTTTTTGATTTGTTTTGTTATCCATATTTGGCGCGCAAGATTCTGTTATACTGTCATTGTCCTGTGTATACGCGATGGTACCTAATACTGGCATGCAAGGGCACAACTTGCATGCCAGTATTGCTTGCAAATGTATCCGCAGTGTGCCAGTTACTCGTACATGCCAGTAACTTTCATGCCAGATACTTTTCCGATTTACTGGCATGTGTATCCCCAGCTTTAATCTAAGTACTTACCAAATAAAAAGGGGTTAATTTTTATAGTAAGTAGTCCGATGAGGGAGATGGTGCAGTTGCCGCAATCGTTGAACTTAAGCAATCTTTCGTGATGAACGAATGAACCGGTTATAGGATCATCACCCAATTATTATAGGTGTAGTATGGAGATTGGGCCGTGACCCACCCATAGAGGTATAAGAATAGAGTGGGGAAGGCGGCTGTAAAAGTGTCCGGCTAGTAGAAAGAGAAAGAAGATGAGAGACCGCTAGCTATCTCTCTCTCTTGTGACGCATGGAATCCAATGGCATCACATCGAAATAGTAAGATGCTTACGGTTGCCAATGGGCATGCGCGATTAGAGAGAGAGAGCTAGCGGTCGCTCATCTTCTTTCTCTTTCTATTAGACGGACACTTCCACTTGTAGTTGAGTCTATATCTCCCCTACTCTATTCTTATACCTCTATGGACCCACCACGGTCAAGATGTTTGCCGCTGGAGAAGAGAGTGGAGGGGAGAGGATGTTAATAAGAGGAAGTATCTTTTTGTCTGTCTTCTATGGTAAGATTTTCTAATGAAAACGCAACCCAACCTTTTTATTTCTAACCAAAATTTAAATATACACACCAAACAAATACACTGCTTAAAAAATGTTTTGCCTGCTGCCCAATTCAATACTTTGTGGCTGTATCTTTTGCAGATACTTAGTCTGTGCGGAAAGAGAATGGGCGTGGCGAAAAACGGAACTAACATTAAGATTTTTATTAGGCAACCAAACCCAGTAATCTGTAAAACGTCAAAGTTTTGTATTGATACGGATTGTTTGTTGTTGTGATTTCTTGCGGTTTTTGTATTTAATCATGTCTAAAGGGGGTAAAACCTTACAAATACGGTAGAAAAGCACTGCAGCGCCCTCCAATCTAAATCCCACTATCTTTCCGCACAGACTCTACCTACATAATAAAACAAGCTGCCTGCTTATGTTTAAATTACTGACCATTATCATGATTGCTTACAGAACAAGAATAGCAGCATATCTTTATTACTCCTTAAAAATTTTAGGTATGCTGAATAAAACTAGTTTTAACGGGTTAATGCACGAAATTTATTTATTTACTAGCGGCCCGCCCTCGCTTCGCTTCGGTGTAGAGCTAAAGTGTAGACTACAGTTTTTGTTCTCAGGCTTGTATTATACATAATGACATTCATCTATGATTCTTCTTATACCTGCATGCAAAGTCTCAGCCCGATCGGTTTAAAATTGACAAAGTTTCATTCCTTATTTTATCCCCTTGGGGGTAGAACTGATCAAAATCTTTTCTTAACGGATGCCTACGTTATAACATCTACCTGCATGCCAAATTTCAGCCCGAAATTTGGCATGTCTGTGGTGGGGACATTGATAGGCTGATGCATAATATAAATACTACTCTTTGGGCTGATGATAAAAGAAAAAAAGTTTAATTTATTTTAAAGGCATGGACATTTAATTCTAACGCGATATACGGTGTAATTTTGACAGTATTATATTTAAAGAAAATATAACTAGAGAAAACTTTGACTCGAACCCGCACCCTTCGCTATCCGGGCGAATGCATTGCCCATTATGCTACCGCGGCCCTCGTCGAATTCTTTCTAGCCTTTCTTAAGCTGCAAGGCAGCTCCATCTCCATGCATTGTAGGTAACCCACAGTAGTATTATATCTTTGTCATGCTCTATAAAGAATGAAAGACAGGCTTCTAAGTTTTTTTCAGTGGGACCGTCTGTCTAGTGTTCTTCAATGGGGTCGTCTAGTTTTCTTCAATGGGGCCGTCTAGTTTTCTTCAATGGGGCCGTCTAGTTTTCTTCAATGGGGCCGTCTAGTTTTCTTCAATGGGGCCGTCTAGTTTTCTTCAATGGGGCCGTCTAGTTTTCTTCAATGGGGCCGTCTAGTTTTCTTCAGTGGGGCCGTCTAGTTTTCTTCAATGGGGCCGTCTAGTTTTCTTCAGTGGGGCCGTCTAGTTTTCTTCAATGGGGCCGTCTAGTTTTCTTCAGTGGGGCCGTCTAGTTTTCTTCAATGGGGCCGTCTAGTTTTCTTCAGTGGGGCCGTCTAGTTTTCTTCAATGGGGCCGTCTAGTTTTCTTCAGTGGGGCCGTCTAGTTTTCTTCAATGGGGCCGTCTAGTTTTCTTCAATGGGGTCGTCTAGTTTTCTTCAATGGGGCCGTCTAGTTTTCTTCAGTGGGGCCGTCTAGTTTTCTTCAATGGGGCCGTCTAGTTTTCTTCAGTGGGGCCGTCTAGTTTTCTTCAATGGGGCCGTCTAGTTTTCTTCAGTGGGGCCGTCTAGTTTTCTTCAATGGGGCCGTCTAGTTTTCTTCAATGGGGTCGTCTAGTTTTCTTCAATGGGGCCGTCTAGTTTTCTTCAGTGGGGCCGTCTAGTTTTCTTCAATGGGGCCGTCTAGTTTTCTTCAATGGGGCCGTCTAGTTTTCTTCAGTGGGGCCGTCTAGTTTTCTTCAATGGGGCCGTCTAGTTTTCTTCAGTGGGGCCGTCTAGTTTTCTTCAATGGGGCCGTCTAGTTTTCTTCAATGGGGCCGTCTAGTTTTCTTCAATGGGGCCGTCTAGTTTTCTTCAATGGGGCCGTCTAGTTTTCTTCAATGGGGCCGTCTAGTTTTCTTCAGTGGGGCCGTCTAGTTTTCTTCAATGGGGCCGTCTAGTTTTCTTCAGTGGGGCCGTCTAGTTTTCTTCAATGGGGCCGTCTAGTTTTCTTCAGTGGGGCCGTCTAGTTTTCTTCAATGGGGCCGTCTAGTTTTCTTCAATGGGGTCGTCTAGTTTTCTTCAATGGGGCCGTCTAGTTTTCTTCAGTGGGGCCGTCTAGTTTTCTTCAATGGGGCCGTCTAGTTTTCTTCAGTGGGGCCGTCTAGTTTTCTTCAATGGGGCCGTCTAGTTTTCTTTTCTTCCTGTAATATTCGATTCTCTCTTCTAGACTGGCTGAAAACACACACAAAATTTATTTACATTTCATCATTATCTGTATATAAATATTTAAAGTTAGGGGAGTTAGCTTTGCAGAGGCGGCGTAAGGCGTGGGCGACGTGGGCCACCACCTACGGCCTCGCGCCTCAAAAATTTTTATGCATTGCTTAAAAGCGAATTTCTTTTTTTTTATTAGGTCTTCAGGTCGCCACAGAACAGGGCCTCGCGAAATCTGTCTTGCCCACATCAAATTTAGGTCTTGCCCCGCCACTGACACTTTGTATATGAGGAGCTGTGATGTTACCCTTATCACAAACCAATATCGAATAAGCTATTTGACAGTAACAAAAATAAGGTACCAATTGCTGGCAACTGTATTTAATATGAATATTAGCAGCGATTTAACTAATCTGAGAACAACAAATAAATAATATATTTTTTACTGAACAGAAATTATTTTTTTGCTCCATGGTCACGTGACTAAAAACGCCTGAGATTGGACAAGACAAAAATGACGTCACACGCTAATCTTCCGGCCAAAGTGACATTACATTATATCGTTTGACGTTTTAATGACAGACGCGTGACGTCACGCACTAGTGGGACGCCATAATGTCCAGACAAACGTTTTCGCGGCAACATGCAAATAGATTTTTTCATTATGTTGTTGCTACTGAATTGTACAACAGATTTAAAAATATCCACTTTTTATGAAATCCTTAAACATTATCTCTTATCTATTAGACAAGTCCGTCCGTCCGTCCGTCTGTCTGTGGTGCTGTTTCAGCGGCCAAACCGTAAGAGATAGATAAAGAGAATATTTAAGTTATAAGTTAAGAATAGTCTGATAAGACTACAAACCGGATTTGAGTAACGTAGCACTTCCGGTTTTCGAGAAATCACGAATTTCAAACGAAACCACACAAATTCTCCGAAGTTCTGAATTAATTAAATACATTTTTTTTTAAATCAGGTTTTGGTGAACATTTGGTTCACTGGTTTGCTAGTTAGTAAATAACGTGAGATCATTTGTTAAATACCCTTTTCTAATACTGGAATTCGATCTCGATACGCGTGAAAAGTCAACTAGTGGCTAGAAAAATTTCGACGCGGTCCGTGAGGGCCGCGGTAGCATAATTTGGTCAGTGCATTCGCCCGGATTCCGAAGGGTGCGGGTTCAAGTCCCGTCTGCTGCCTGGTCCGCGTGGATTTTTTTCTAGTTATATTTTCTTTATATTTAATCATCAAGCAGTTACATGCTTTAAAAAAATAAAAATTATAACTTACAACAAGTCTCCCTTTTCAACAACGGCGTGTACACCCTAGGTTGTATTCCTTGTAACAAACATTTTGTGTATTCTATAACTCTGTCACTCTCTTCGTTAACAGCACCTGTCTCACTCGCACTAAGCTTAGAGTACTCTTTCTCAAGTTCTCTTATTGATTCTTTCACCATTGTGGATCTGAAATAATAAATTCTAATATTTTTTTGTGGATGGATGACCGAAAATTTACTATTCCGAGTTCCTCTGTGCTTCGGAAGGCAGGTTAAGCCGTTGGTCCCGGCTGCATCTGCAGTCGTTAGCACCCGCCAATCCGCACTGGGCCCGCGTGGTGGGTAGGGTTATCAACTTTTTTTCTATCAAATATAGTATTTTCGAAGCTTTTTATTTTTGAAATAAATATAGTTTAAATCTAAAGCAAATATAACTAGAAAAAATTCCACGCGGACCAGGCAGCAGACGGGACTCGAACCCGCACCCTTCGCAATCCGGGCGAATGCACTGACCAATTATGCTACCGCGGCCCACACGGACCGCGTCGAAATTCTTCTAGCTATTCTTAAGCTGCAAGGCAGCGCCATCTCTTCGCATTATAGGTAACCCACAATGATAACAATAACTATAAATATAGTTTTGCTGCTCATTGCCTTACTAAGAGTATAATAACAAATTCTAATATTTTTTAAGAAAGCTTTTACTGTCAAAAATATGCTTTAAGCAAAATATAGTAGTTTCGCTCGCCTTTGATACTATATTATAGTAGGGATGGTTAGTGGTGGTCATGGCACAATCTCCCTATTCCATCCATAGAGATGGCCTGTCGGGACATTAATAGACTGGTGATGTTGTGTTTTAAATAAATAAAATAAATAAATATTTCCAACACTCACACCAATTAGCCTAGCTCCAAAGTAAGCACTGTAAGACTTGTGTTATGGGATGCTAGGGTAACGGATAGAATGGCCTGGAGAGGCCGGAAAGGGAGAGAGTAGGAAAGAGTGTCGGGGACGCGAGGCGTCAGGAGCCTCCAGAACCTGGAGAAGGAAGGCTGACGAGGAGCCAGGCTGGTTCCTCGAAAAAAGATGGGTCGCTGATCCTGGTTTTCGAAAAGGTAGTGGGGGGATCTGTGGCAGATATCAGCATGGATACGGGAGCGGAGTCGGCGGCTGAATCATTGGCCGGCTCAGTGACAAGCCGCAAGAGGAAAAGTGTGGCGGCGAGCTTCCGCAAGGATGCGGGTTCGGGGACGGCACCTGAGCCTAAAGTGGCCCGGTCGAGAGGGGGCAGAAGAGGCGGAGGTGCCAAGAAGCACAGTGTCGGCCTGTCGCAGGCCAGGAGAGAGGCAAGGGAGCTCGGCTCGGACTCGGGCTCGTCTGACACCTTGACGGAGCCGTTTACTGACGCCGAGGGCGAGATGGACGCGGTGTCAAAGAGGATGTCCGTACAGGACCTGGTGGAGGAGGCCTCAAAGAAGGCAAATGAGGTGACCGAGGTGGCTAGGAGGGCCAAGAACCTAAAGGGGACCTGCAGCCGGAAAATCCGAAACGGCGCTGGTTCCCTCATGAAGGTGGTTCGCGCACTGGCTACTAAGGATGCAGCGGAGGAGATACGTCGCCTGCAGGCTGATAACAAGCGCCTGCAGGACGAGCTAGGGAAAGTCCTAAAGGAGCTGACAGCCCTGCGGAGGGATTTCTCTGAGGCAGGCAAGGGGCGCCGCAAAGGACCGGCGACGCCGATAGTCGTGGACACCCCTACAGGGGGTACGGGTGGCGGATGCTGGAGCGAGGCAGAGCTTGAAAACATGATGCAGGAGATGCAGCGCTCCCTCGCCCAGCAAATGTCCAACATGCTCCAGGCCAGGTTGGAGGGCCTGGAGGTGGATGGACGATTGCTGCCTGCGGCAGAGCGGCCACGCCGGCCGCCACTGGCAGCCGACGCCAAGGCTTTGGCCTCCAAGTCACCTGGAGCCGTGCAGCCGGCTGGGGTCAAGAGGGCAGCGCAACCGCCAGCAGCAATAACAACGCTGCTCCCGGCCGCCAACATGCCCAAAAAGGCCCGGGCGAAGGCGACGAAGGCGGCGAAGAAGGCGGCAAAGGCAAAGGGAGGCCCCTCGGCTGCTGCTCCGCCTGCGGCAAGGAGGGAGGAGCCTATGGCGGCAGCACCACAGCCGCTGCCTGAAACAGCGCTGCCAGCGGAGGGGGCCTGGGTCGCCGTGGCTAAGAAGGCAAAAAAAGCCAAGCCTGCGGCCCAATCGGAGCCCAAGACGGCGGGCCCGAAGACGAAGGGAGCCACCAAGGGCCCACCTACACCTAAGGGCCCTAAAATACCCAAGCCACCCAAGACCTTGGCGGTGGTGGTGGCTCTCAAGCCGGAGGCGGTGGCTGGCGGAGCCACCTATAAGGACGCCTTGGCCAAAGTCAAGGCGTCCGTAAATATGCAGGAGCTGGGCATCGGACCGTCGAAGTTCCGGACGACGTTGACGGGAGCGAGAATTATAGAGCTCCCGTCCGGAACGACGACTGCCCAGGCCGATGCATTGGCGGCCAAGGCGGGCGAGGCCCTTGGAGAGGCCGCCAAGGTGACCCGCCCCACAAAATCGGCGGATATCCGGGTGTCGGGTCTCGATGACACAGTGACACCCGAGGAAGTCCGCGCGGCCCTGGCCCAAAAAGCCGGCTGCCCCCCCGAAACCATCAGGGTGGGGGCAATATCCGCCGGCGTCAGGGGGATCGGCTCCGCTATCGCCTCCTGCCCAGTGGAGGCCGTGGGCAGGCTGGTGAAGGATGGGAAGCTGGAGGTGGGATGGAGCGCGGCGACGGTCCGGCTTATGGAGCCACGCCCCATGCGGTGCCACAGGTGCCTGGCACTGGGGCACCCGGGAGCCATGTGCCCCTCCAACAAGGACCGCAGCGGTCTCTGCTATCGCTGCGGCAAAGAGGGGCACGTAGCCAAGGCCTGCAAGGCCCCACCGCACTGCGCGGTGTGTGCCGACAGGGGCCTACCAGCCGGGCACCGAATGGCGGGGGCTAGTTGCAAGCCCCCTCCCGTCAAGGGCCGCCTGCCGAAACCGGCAGCGGCTCCTGGTGCCGCACCAAGGGCGGCCCCCCGCGCCACGCCAGAGGCGACCCCAGAAGTAACCCAATGTCCGTCAACGATGCCCAGTAGGACATTGGGGAAATTGCTCCAGGCCAACCTTAACCGCTCCGCCAGGGCACAGGATCTCCTGTGCCAGACGATGGCGGAGTGGGGGGTCGACCTTGCGTGGTCTCCGAGCCGCACCGTATCCCCCCGTCCGACAAGTGGATGAGGGCTGCGGATGGCTTGGCTGCCATCGTGGCAGCGAGTGCGGGCCCTTCCCCGGTGATGGTGGAGAGGGGGGAGGGGTATGTGGCGGCACGATGGGGAGAGGTGGTGGTGGTGTCCACCTACTTCTCCCCCAACCGCAGCAGGGCCGATTTCGAACGGTTTCTCGCTGCGGTTGAAGGGGTCGTGCACCGCGCGGCCCCTCGTCAGGTGCTGGTGGCGGGGGACCTCAACGCAAAATCGACCGCGTGGGGGTCCCCCCGCACCGACGTCAGGGGTGGGGTCCTGGAGGCCTGGGTGTTTGCCCTGGGTCTCCAGGTCCTCAACCGAGGAACCACCCCTACCTGCGTCCGGTGGCAAGGCACGTCACTTATTGACGTGTCCTTCGCCACCCCGCCGCTCGCGGCCCGTATCCGGGGCTGGCGGGTGGAAGCGGATGTGGAGACCCTATCGGACCACCGATATGTCCGGTACGAGGTCTCCACGGCATCCCCAGGGGCCCCAGTGGGCCCCAGTGCGGGCGGCTCGCCGTTCAAACGGTGGGCGCTCGCACGCCTCCAGCCGGATGTGGCGGAGGAGGCGGCGACGGTGCGGGCCTGGGCAGGGGTCCCGGACGCCGTCGCTGGGGATGCCGACGGCATGGCGGACCTTTTCGCGGACGACATCAACGTCGTCTGCAGCGCCGCCATGCCTAGGGCGCGGGTTGGCCCACGGAGAAGGGGGCAGGCATACTGGTGGACGCAGGAACTCACGATCCTGCGTACCGCCAGTATGAGGGCCAGGCGCGCCTACCAAAGATGCCGTAGGCGCGCCAGACGAGCGCCCGGCGAAGAGGAGGTCCTCCGCCGGGCGTACAACGAGGCCCACACGGCCCTGCGTGTCGCCATTTGCAGGGCCAAGGTCGCTGCCTGGGATGAGTTTCTGGCCATCCTGGACAGCGACCCCTGGGGGAGGCCGTACCGGACGGTGAGGGGGAAGTTCGCTTCGGCGGCCCCCTCCACGTCTGAGATGGAGCCTGCGCTGGTGAGAAGGGTGCTGGGGACACTTTTCCCAGACCCCGGGCCCTTCGAACCCCCCAGGATGCTCCCCCCCGGTTCTGCTCCGGGGGCGTGGGCAGCTGGTCCCCCCGTGTCTGATGCAGAACTAGACACGGTGAGGGACCGGCTCCGTAGCCGCAATAAAGCTCCGGGGCCGAACGGGGCCCCGGCCAAGGTAATGGCCATTGCCTTGGGCCCCCTGGGAGAGTGATTCCGCGCGGTGCTCGACACATGCATCGCGACGGGTCGCTTTCCCAGGCGCTGGAGAGTGGGGCGGCTTTGCCTTCTCCGCAAGGAAGGCCGCCCGGCAGACTCCCCAGCGGGCTACCGGCCGGTGGTGTTGCTCGATGAGTCCGGGAAGGCTTTTGAGAAGATTCTCGCCTCCCGGATCATCGAGCACATCGAGGGTGAGGGGCCGGACCTGGCGGACTGCCAGTTCGGTTTCCGATCCGGCCGGTCCACGATAGACGCGGTTGGCCGTCTCAAGAGGTGGACTGAGGCGGCCACAGCTCGGGGGGAGGTGGTGATCGCGGTGTCCTTGGACATCGCGAACGCATTCAACACCATCCCCCACGAGTGCATAGAGGCGGCGCTCGAGTTCCATCGAGTGCCACTCTACCTCCGCATCCTCGTCCGGGACTACCTGCGAGACAGGTCAGTCCTGTACGAGGATGCGGAGGGCCGCGTCCAATCGTGGCCAGTGAAGGCAGGCGTACCCCAGGGTTCCGTATTAGGTCCCCTCCTATGGAACCTGGGGTACAACTGGGTCCTGCGGGGTGAGCTCTTGCCGCGCATGGATGTCGTCTGCTTTGCGGACGACACCCTAGTAGCGGCGAGAGCGAGAGGGTGGGAGGAGGCGGTCCGCCTTGCGTCGGTCGGCACCTCCATGGTCGTCCGACGCATCCGCCTCCTGGGACTGGAAGTGGCCCTCGAAAAGACGAGGGCCATGGCCTTCCACGGTCCCAGACGCAGGACCCCGCCGGGGCTCCATGCCCGGGTAGAGGGGGTGTGGGTTCCGGTCGAGATGCACCTTAAGTATCTCGGCCTGACCCTAGACCCCCGATGGAGCTGGGAGGAGCATTTTAGGCTCCTCGCTCCCCGGCTGTGCGGCGTCGCAGCCGGACTCGGTCGCCTCCTCCCCAATGTGGGGGGGGCCGAAGGCGAAGTGCCGTCGGCTTTATCACTCCGTGATAAAGTCGATGGCGCTGTACGGGGCCCCGGTCTGGGCTGAGTGCCTCTCGTCCCGCACGAGGGCCCTCTTGCGAAGACCGCAGAGGGTCATCGCGACCCGGGCCGTGCGGGCTTACCGCACGGTCAGCCACGGGGCTGCCTGCGTCCTAGCAGGTACGCTCCCGTGGGAGGTTGATGCCCTGGTACTGTCCCAGGTGCATCAACATCGGGTCGCGGCGAGAGAGCGGGGCGAGCGACCCGTTCTAGAGGAGGTAGAACGGGTCCGCACCGAGGCGCAGGGGGAGGCTCTGCGCCGATGGGTGGAGGCACTCGCCAACCCAGCCGCTGGCCATCGGACGATCGAGGCGATTCGTCCGGTGTTGGAGGAGTGGATAGGGCGCCAGCGGGGCACCCTCACCTACCGCCTGGTGCAGGTACTGACCGGACATGGGTGCTTCGGTCACTACCTGCACCGAGTCACCCGTCGGGAGGAGACGCCGCGGTGTCATCACTGCGCCTCTCCCGACGACACGGCCGAGCACACGTTGATCGTGTGCCCGGCCTGGCGAAATGAGCGCCGCGATCTGATCGCGGCGCTCGGCGGAGGAGGCCTCACGCTGCCAAGTATGGTAAGAGCCATGCTTGGTAGCGAGAGAGCCTGGAGGGCTGCCGCCTCCTTCTGCGAATCTGTGATGGCGCAGAAGGAGGCAGCGGAGAGGGAGCGGGAGGAGGACGCTCTAGCCGCCCCTCTCCGGCGTAGACGGGTGGGCCGAAGAAGGCAGGCAGCTGTGACTGCCGGTCTTCGACGGCCCTAAGGTGGCCTGGGCGCGGCCTGACCAGCCGCGCGCCCTAGGTGCCGCTCCGGCATAGGCCACCACGTCTGGGGACTGCCTAGTACCCTAGCGCAGTCCCTCGTTGGGCCGGGCCTGCCCGGGGGCGGGCTCGGAGTTGTGGCGCACGCAGGTGCGTCGGCCCCGAGACGCCCCCAAATGGGCGTAGGAGGGTACCGGGGGGTTTTAGTGGAGTAGGATCAGTGTGGCCTTCCGCACTGGTCCTGCTTGAGTAGGGTCGGCACTGTTTCCCGTGCCGGCGAGTCCCACACACGCCGTGCGCCTAGTCAGCGTCACGGTATGGTGCGTAACTGCATTTCCCCTCGTCACAAAAAAAAAAAAAAAAAAAAAAAGGGTAGCGGATAGAATACATATACATACTGTACATATAATTATATTTATTACATATAAGTATATTTATATAGAAATACAGATTAAACATCCATGACTGGAGTACAAATGCTCGGATTCATCACACAAACATCTGCCCTTACCGGGATTCGAACCCGGGACCTCTCGAGTCGGCGACGCCATGAAACCCGGCGTACAAACCACTCGGCCACGGAGGTCGTCAAAAGTTTTTAAAATGAATACTTCTTTTTATGTGCCATCTCTTCGCATTGTAGGTGAGAGAGCAGGAGAAATGGCGCTGCCTTGGAGTCCAAGAAATAATAGAGAAAATTCGTGCATTCGCCCGGATAGCGGAGGGTGAGAGTTTGAGTCCCATCTGCTGGCTGAAAAACGTCGACTTTTTTTAAGTAAAAAAAATACATTTTAACATTTATCAGGTTTAGAATTAAAATCGATACTTTCACGTGTTTCCGAGATGAAGAGCCTTGACGGACAGACAGACAACAAAGTGATCGGCGAATGGATGCGAAAGCCAGTGCGAGCTGATAGCGGAGTAGCGTAGAGAGCAGTTGTGTCATCGTTGCATCATAAAAAATAACGAAAAAAAATCGAACTCGAAAATATGAAAAATCGTAGAACATACATGGGTTTTCAATTGATAGGTATGGTACTCCGCACCCTGTATATAATATTTGACAAATAAATGATTTATTATTTACTAGCGGCCCGCCCTCGCTTCCCTTCGGTGTAGAGCTGAAGTGTAGACTAGTTTTTATTATCATGCTTGTATTATACACAATGAAATTCATCTATGATTCTTCTTATACCTGCATGCAAAGTCTCAGCCCGATCGGTTTAAAATTGACAAAGTTTCTTACAAACTTTCATTCCCTATTTTATCCCCTTGGGGGTAGAATTGATCAAAATCCTTTCTTAGCGGATGCCTACGCCATAACATCTACCTGCATGCCAAATTTCAGCCCGATCCGTCCAGTGGTTTGGGCTGTGCGTTGATAGATCACTATGTCAGTCAGTCCTTTGATAACTGGTGACGAAAATGTTCATAAACACCCTCATTCCGGAACCATCACTTACTTGATACTATGCATGGTCCATTCGTTCTGCAGTTGTGCTATAACTGTCTTCAGTTCATCCCTTTCGAACACCCACTTCTGGATGTTTTCTAAATCGTAACTAGCGTGGAATAAATTGAGTGGCAAATCCAGTGCCATATTGTATTGAGGTTTCCTAAAAGAGAATATAATTTATATGACGTTGTTTAACGACCTCTGTGGTTGAGTGGTTTGTACGCCGGGTTCGAATCCCGGTGAGGACAGATGTTTGTGTGACGAATACGAGCATTTGTACTCCAGTCATGGATGTTTAATATGTATTATACTATATAAATATACTTACATTATGTATAGTATATGTATTCTGTCCGTTACCCTAGTATCCCATAACACAAGCACACAGGCTTACTTTGGGGCTAGGCTAATTGGTGTGAGTGTTGGATATATTTATTTATACCTGTTTCTAATAAAATATCAGCACTGCAGGTTTGTGTTATGGGATGCTAGGGTAACGGATAGAATACAAATACTTATACATATATAACTATATTTATATAGTAATACATATTAAACATCCATGACTGAAGCACAAATGCTCGTATTCATCACGCAAACATCTGCCCACACCGGGATTCGAACCTGGCACCTATCGAGGAGATCGTCAGTCGTAATCAGACGTTAAAACGCCGGGTAAACGGAAAAATGCTCGAATTTGTGTTTCTACCAAATTTTTTCTCACCTCGCAACCTTTTCGACGTCCAATAATTCCTTCACCACATCGGGGGATTCGTCTCCTCTCCCCACCAGTAATAAAACCCCCATGATGCACCTGATCTGATGCCAGAGGAAGGCATTACCCTCTACCAGAAGATAGAACATGGCTGTCGCTGAAAAGAACATGATATAAATAAATATTTCTAACACTCACACCAATTAGCCAAGCCCCAAAGTAAGCACTGTAAGGCTTGTGTTATGAGATGCTAGGGTAACGGATAGAATACATACACTATACATATTAAACATCCATGACCGGAGTAAAAACGCTCGTATTCATCACACAAACATGGGGGCAGATGTTTGCGTGATGAATAGGAGCGTTTGTACTAACATTTGACATTTCGTAGACCTCACGCTACACAAGCGCCTCTAGCGGCGGACTCAAACGCGAACATCATCATCATAAGCCTATTAATGTCCCCACTGTTGGGACACAGGCCTTCCCTATGGATGGAATAGGGAGATTTGGCCATGACCCACCACGCGGGCCCAGTGCGGGTTGGTGGGTGCTAACGTCTGCAGATGCAGCCAGGACCAACGCCTTATCGTACCTTCCGAAGCATGAAGGAGCTCGAGATAGTAAGTTTTTGGTCACCCATCCAATTATCGACCATTTTTTATTGCGAAAGTTGCTTCACTTCAACAATCGCAGCCGAACGCGCTAACCACTTGCCATCGAGCTCTTCCATTAGTACGTTATTTAGTTTGATTAGAAATAAAGCCGCGTAGTGAAGCCACAAGCAATGAAACTTGACATTTCGGAGACCACTTTCGGAGACCTCACGCTATATAATACACAAGCGCCTCTAGCGGCGGATTCAAACGCGATAGCCCTCATTTAACCACGCAGATGAATATTTATAACAAAAACACCCACCAGCTCAGCCCCAAAAGAAAGCATTGAAAGACTTTGCTTGACCTTGTTTTAAGTCTAGGGTTTGTTTGATATGCATATTCATATTCATTTATTGCATCTTGTTGTATACATAGGTGTTACAAGTATGGTTAGGTTGCAAACAAAGCAAACAATATGCATATCCTTGTATTTATCATTGACCACACAGGGGGGATTCATCTCCACTCCCCACCAGTAAAATATCTCCATGATACATCAGATTAGATGCCAGAGGGTACGATGAAACTTAGGTTTTTAGCCCGGAAATAAATTATGTTCCTGTGGAAATCGTACAAAACATCTAAAATGCGGACTAAGTCGCGAGCGAGAGCTAGTTCACAATAAAATATTCACTCACTTGACTAATAATGTCTACACTACTGGGGCACAGGTCTTCTTTATGGGTAGTATAGGGAGAATGCCATGACCCACCACGCGGGCCAAGGCAGATTGGCGGATGCTAACTACTGCAGATACAGCTGGGAACAACGGCTTTACGTGCCTTCCGAAGCACGGAGGAGTGACAGATAGTTAATTTTTGGTCACCCATTCAATGACCGACCATTGCAAAACTTGCTTAACTTCTACGATCGCAAGCCATACTGCACCATCAAAGTCCTCCTAAACACATAATATTGCACCATTTAAATAACAATAACATAAAAATCCACTCACTTTCTTAATTTTCACCATCCACAGATAGCACTTCTAAATATTTCCCGCTTAAACTCCGTGACGTCATTTCCGTCGTTCATCTTGCTGATCTAAATAGGCTGATCATGGCCTCTAATTAATAATATTGTAAATTTAAATAACGATAATATAAAAGTCACTTACGCTCCTCATTTTCACCATCCACAGATAGCACTTCAGCTTTAAATATTTCCCGCGTAAACTCCGTGACGCCATTACCGACGTCCATCTTGCAGAGGTGACGGAAGTCGTGCGAGCCTACAAGATGGCCGCATGCAATTCGCATCGCGTCAATATTGAGGGAAGAACGCGGGAAATAGTATTTATATTGACGTTTCGTGCATTCGAATCTGGAATAGAATGTTTGTGCAGAGAAAGTTTAATTAGGCGAAAAAGTAATATGATATCCTTATTGTAATATTTTTTTGACTATTCGTTACTTAGCAATGTATTTGTTTGTTACTCAATTACACAAAGACAGCTCAACGAATTTGGATGAAACTTGGAACACATAGGTAAGTATTATTATTATCTGGATTCACTAACCGTGATACTTTATTTATTGGAAAAAAATTAAGTTCCTGTGAGATTCTCATAATACTTACTATTAAAGCAGACGCATGTGTCATGAGACACATTAAAACAATCGTTTTTCACTCCACTCAAGAAGCAAATACATAGAGCACGAACCGATATCGAATTCGAATAGTTTGCGAGTCCGAAAAATCATTGTCAAATGTGTACTGATTTTTAGTTCTCATGGCACTACTGTTCAAGTTTCCATACAAAATTTGACATTGTCATTTTGCACTCGCAAACTATTCGAATTCGACAATGGTTCGTGGTAGGGGTACAGTATCCTTAGCACGAAACTATATCGAATTCGACAAAGATATGCGTCAAGTATCAAGAAGTTTTGTATGGAAGGTTTTTAATTCTCGTTACGTCCGTTGTGGCGATGTTCATATTTCCATATGAAACTTCGTGACATATGACACGTATCGAGATCGTATTCACCTTATCGAATTCGGTATTGTTTCGTGCTAAGTATCATCATCATCAGCCTATTAATGTCCCCACTGTGCTGGGGCACAGGCCTTCGCTATGGATGAAATAGGGAGATCGGGCCATGGTATGACCCACCACGCTGGCCGAGTGAAGATTGGTGGGTGCTAACGACTGCAGATGCAGCCGGGACCAACGGCTTAACGTGCCTTCCGAAGCACGGAGGAGCTCGAGATAGTAAATTTTTGGTCACCCATCCAATGACCGCGAAGTTGCTTAACTTCAACGATCGCAGCCGAACGCGCTAACCACTTACGCCATCGAGCTCCTCACAAGTTTAATTACTTGAAGATAATAATCATATTAAAGTCGGGTAAGAATAATACCAAATGTTGTTACATTATTTGTTTTAATGTTGTAGAGTTTTCGCTCGTTTTCTCTGTAGTTAAAAAATATGTCCAATAAAGAGTGGTAGGGAAAAAAAATTTGGACGGTTCCAAAGATTTGTCGTGCATGCCATAAAATGTGTTGTGTTTTGTTAAAGGGTCGTTAAATCAACATAGGAAGTGACAGAATTTTTAAAATAGTATTTGCAACTTCTCATTTCAAAATTAATTTTATTAAGAATCCTTATAATTTTTATTATTTTTAAAGCATGTAACTGCTTGATGTTTAAATCTAAAGAAAATATAACTAGAAAAAAAATTCCACGCGGACCAGGCAGCAGACGGGACTCGAACCCGCACCCTTCGCAATCCGGGCGAATGCACTGACCAATTATGCTACCGCGGCCCTCACGGACCGCGTCGAAATTCTTTCTAGCTATTCTTAAGCTGCAAGGCAGCGCCGCGCGGTCCGTGAGGGCCGCGGTAGCATAATTGGTCAGTGCATTCGCCCGGATTGCGAAGGGTGCGGGTTCGAGTCCCGTCTGCTGCCTGGTCCGCGTGGAATTTTTTTTCTAGTTATATTTTCTTTAGATTTAAACATCAAGCAGTTACATGCTTTAAAAATAATAAAAATTATAACTATAATTGCTATTTCTTCTTTCAAATGTTTAATACTTGTAAAAGTATTCATTTGACATTGTGGGTTTACCTATAATGCGAAGAGATGGCGCTGCCTTGCAGCTTAAGAATAGCTAGAAAGAATTTCGACGCGGTCCGTGAGGGCCGCGGTAGCATAATTGGTCAGTGCATTCGCCCGGATTGCGAAGGGTGCGGGTTCGAGTCCCGTCTGCTGCCTGGTCCGCGTGGAATTTTTTTCTAGTTATATTTTCTTTAGATTTAAACATCAAGCAGTTACATGCTTTAAAAATAATAAAAATTATAACTATAATTGCTATTTCTTCTTTCAAATGTTTAATACTTGTAAAAGTATTCATTTGACATTGTGGGTTTACCTATAATGCGAAGAGATGGCGCTGCCTTGCAGCTTAAGAATAGCTAGAAAGAATTTCGACGCGGTCCGTGAGGGCCGCGGTAGCATAATTGGTCAGTGCATTCGCCCGGATTGCGAAGGGTGCGGGTTCGAGTCCCGTCTGCTGCCTGGTCCGCGTGGAATTTTTTTCTAGTTATATTTTCTTTAGATTTAAACATCAAGCAGTTACATGCTTTAAAAATAATAAAAATTATAACTATAATTGCTATTTCTTCTTTCAAATGTTTAATACTTGTAAAAGTATTCATTTGACATTGTGGGTTTACCTATAATGCGAAGAGATGGCGCTGCCTTGCAGCTTAAGAATAGCTAGAAAGAATTTCGACGCGGTCCGTGAGGGCCGCGGTAGCATAATTGGTCAGTGCATTCGCCCGGATTGCGAAGGGTGCGGGTTCGAGTCCCGTCTGCTGCCTGGTCCGCGTGGAATTTTTTTCTAGTTATATTTTCTTTAGATTTAAGAATCCTTGTCGTGTAGTGGCTATCTACGTGAAATTGGCAGAATTGTGGGTATATCCCCGTTGAGCCATTAAAATAAAATAAAAAAAAAAGAAAGAAGAAGAAGATTTGTAGGTACTGTACACCAAATTCGAATAAAGATATTTTGACTTTTTCACTTGACGTTTTGACTACATCTCACCTCGCACTGTACTCCGGCTTATCATCAGGTATCGGCATCCAGGCTACTGCCCTGATCTCCTTAGGCAGTAATCTGTTCAAGATCTTGCAGTACTGCATCTCTGATGATATGGAAGCAGGCAGATGCTGCTGATCCGGAGGGTGTTTACTCCTCAACGATATGGATATCACCTGAAATAATGAACAGGTTTATTTATGTTATACTTTTATTGTTACTTGAAAGCAAAGGATGCTAAGCCCATACATCCTTTCAAGTAATGTTTTTTTTTTATATGATTGTCATTTTTTGTGTCACTAAACAGGCCCTGCCAGAATAACAGCGCTGGTGCGACATAGTGTCGCATCAGCTAATGCTGAAGGCAGGGTCCTGGTTAGCCCTAAGATTTTTGAATTTGTATCTATAAATGTATAATTGAGGGTTAATAAAATATATTCTATTCCATTCCATTCTATTTTTTAAGCATGTAAAAATGGAATTTTCCTAGAAAATATGTACGCGGTCCAGGCAGCAGACGGGACTCGAACCCGCACCTTTAGCAATTTTCTTTAGTTTTTTTCTTCGCAATCCGGGCGAATGCACTGACCAATTATGCTACCGCGGCCCTCACGGAACGCGTGTGGGTGGGTTACCTATAATGCGAAGAGATGGCGCTGCCTTGCAGCTTAAGAATGGATAGAAGAATTTCGACGCGGTCCGTGAGGGCAGCGGTAGCATAATTGGTCAGTGCATTCGCCCGGATTGCGAAGGGTGCGGGTTCGAGTCCCGTCTGCTGCCTGGTCCGCGTGACATTTTTTCTAGTTATATTTTCTTTAATTTTCTTTAGATTTAAACATCCAGCAGATAAATACTTGAAGAAATATCACACTAATATTATAAAAGGCCAAAGTTTGTGAATGTGTATGTCTTCTACTTCTTCACGTCTAAAGGGCTGGAGCGATTTTAGTAAAATTTGGTATGGAGTTACCAGACACCCTGGATTAACACATAAGCTACGTTTTACTGCAGGAAAATATCCCTAATAAACCGCGGGTAAAACCGCGGGACAGTAATAGTATTATTATAAACTGCACTTGCTATTTCTTCTTTCAAATGTCTAATACTTGTAAAGGAATTTTGTTTGACATTGTGGATTACCTACAATGCGAAGAGATGGCGCTGCCTTGCAGCCTAAGAAATACTAGAAGAAATTCGACACGACCATTAAGGTCGCGGTAGCATAATTGGTCAATGCATCCGCCCGGACAGCGCAGGGTGCGGGTTCGAGTCCCCTCTGCTGCCTGGACGCGTGGATTTTTTTTCTAGTTAACATTTCCTTAAATCTGAACGCTTAGCAGTTAAATGCTTAAAAATTGGTCTTAGAAAAGTATATACTGAAAAAAAAACTAGTTGAATTTTGTTTGGGTAATTTGGATTTCAGTTATTTAAGTAACAACAGCAGCAATTGTGGGTACGGTTTTTCTTGTTTCTTATAAATTTTGCCCACTTTCTATTTATACTTGAATGCTTGTCCAATAAGACCAATATGAAAATTAATTATTAATTTGGAGTACTAAACTATTTAATAACATATAACAACCTGTCCGAAAGCGCTGACTCCTTTATCAGTTCTGCCGCATCTGTGATACTGTGAAGTTTCTCTCTTCTCTATGAGGCATGACTTAATCAAAGCGTGGAATAGGTGATGCTCTATGGTTTGAGTTGAGTCTTCTTGCACAGCCAGGCCTTGGTAGTCCCAACCGAAGTAAATAATTCGGAGTAGAACTCGACGAAAATGGCATCTGTGATATGAATTATGTTTTTAAATGTATTTTTTTTACTAATTGAGCAGTGTTATGCAGAAAGCAACCAGCAGACAATTTCGAAGTTAGCAAAAATGAATGGTCGTTTCTGACATCTCTAATAGTCCAACTTTAACATGGGTTATAACCAATGCCTGGTGTCTAAAATGTCTGTCTATGTGTTGTTACAAATACTCAACGAGTCTGCAGTCAACATACTACACAACATCAACAAAACCGTACAGGCTCAGCATATACCTTGTCTTCTTTAACCCAGACATTGGCAGTATTGACACGTAATGAGACGCAGCCATTATAAAAAAATAAATAATAATGGGTTAGTAGAACAAATTTTTGCTTACTCCTAAAATCTGTTGATTCCATAAATGTTATTATAGTAAATTAAAAGGTATGTTTATTTGATAATAGTATTACTGAGAATAGAAATCAATATAGTTTATAATTGATTTTGTTTTAAAAGAACTGATTCATTGACAATTATGAGTGTTATATTTTAAATTAATGCTGACAGTGCATCATTTTAACTTTGAGTTACAGTTCCAATGTTAGTGTATGCACCACAGTCACACAGCTCTTTGTATATTATTTCATATGGAGTAGAGCATTAATGCTAATGAATACTCATGTTCTTGCAGCATTCATATGCAATACTTAGCAGTTCATTAAAGGAACAATTTCGAGACAGGCGGCAGACTGTGCAGCCACAGGCGACACGGCGGCCAGCAACCTCACTTCGGTCAGAGATGCCACTGCACAGTGTATAGAACCATAACTCAGCGGACGAGCTGGATGGAGCAACTGATTAGCGCGTTCGGCTACAATCGTTTAAGTTAAGCAACTTTTCCAGTGGTCGGTCATTGGATGGGTGAACTAAAAATTTACAATAGAGCTCTTCTGTGCTCCGGAAGGCACGTTAAGCTGTTGATCCCGGCTGCATCTGCAGTCGTCAGCACCCGCCAATCCGCACTGTGCCCGCGTGGAGGGTCATGGACCAATCTCCCTATTCCATTCACAGGGAAGGCCTGTGCCCCAACAGTGGGGACATTAATAAGCTGGTGATGTGATGTAATACCTTAGTCACTACAATCTTAAAGACGCAGTGTCGTCGCTTTCGCAATGAATTTCATAGGTATTCATAGAAACAATTGGGGTCGCTGCAATTTGCGGTCTGCAGCCCGCCTCGGAATGGCACCTTTTAATTCATCCAAAGCAATACCTCGGGCGTATACGCCAGAGGGTAAAACTGTACTTCCAGGGCCCAAAAGGTGATACTTGTTTTTTTTTGTAGAAATGGTCTTTTTAACAGATTTTTTCTGGCGCTTCGCCGGCCGCTGCCGCGGCACGCTCGCTTTGCTCGCTCGGCTCGCGCGTTATGGTCACAACACTAACCTAACCTAACCTAGTGTGAAGTATCACCACTTGATAAGAAAAGTAAAAAATTTCAATATTTTTTTCTAAAAAACTACCAGTGCATAAGTGTGACATTTTTTTTAATAATGTGGTTAACAGAAACCTTTTTAATAACAAAAATGCGAAATTACAACCAACAAAACTGTGAAGTTTTTACTTTTGGGCCCTGGAAGTACAGTATATCCCGCCAGAGCATGTGGATTATAATTTCAGAAAATTTATTTTCACACACACCTACCACATAATATAACTAAAAGTTTTCTTACTTCGTGAAGTCAAATTTTCTCTTTTTGTCTTCAGTTTCGTATTTCGATTCGCCAGACCCATTTTTGCTTATTATATTTTTCAACTGCGCATTATGTGCTTCTATTTGTAAGATTTTATCTATTAAGTCCTGTAAGATTTAAGAAAAATAGCATTATGTTTATATATTTGATGAGTGAAAGAGGTTATTAGGATAAACATTCCATTTGAAATGTGATAATCACATTCTTGTCCATGTTTAGCAGTTCCTCTCGAGTACTGGTTTTAGTTTTCCTAGATTTGGGTGGCAGTTTTGCCATTTTAATTATTTCACTGAGTATAAAATTAAAGAAACACCTGTTTGTTTACATTACAATTACAATCACATGTGAACTGTCAAAAATGACAGTGACGTTAACTTTTTTAGTTTTATTCTTTCCTATTGGAAAAGGCAAAGGCAAAGCCACGCAGAATCCAGAAAGCTACCGAGCGTTTTCCATTTAGAAAAAAAAGTCGACAATGCCAACTAAACTAAAGCTTTAGTTGGCATTAGGTTTTTGCTATAGTATCGTCGACACAGTGCAACACAGTGTCGACTTTTATTTCTAAATGGAAAACGCTCACCGTTTTAAATGGTGTAATACCTGACTGCGGAGACAAAAGAGAGGGTCGGCATTTTTTTATTCCTTTTCGCTTATCACTTATAATAATTATTAGTAAAAAATCTAACAAACATGAATATACACAGTTTGGTACTCCGTTGCATGGTGAATTCAATGCATTCTGAGTTCATATAAAAAAATACACTGTTTCTAACCATTAAAACCAAAAAACTCCGTTTTAAACAGTTTTTGTTTTTTCAAAATTTTGGTTTTAAACGGCATGGTTTGATTCGTTTAAACCGACCTTACAACAATAGATGTGACGCATTCATAAGTTTCTGGGAGTGTTTGACACGAAACGTATCGAGTGAGCTTTCTCGATTACTTTTCGTGAGGTAGTCAACGTGATAATTTGACAATGAATAAAGTGATAAATTGTCAATTAATCACACATTTTGTTTTAACCAAAATGATAGTACACAGCAACAAAAATTAGCCTAGAGTTGATAATGTAAATGTAGTTTTTTAAATTTAAAAAAATTAAGCCTAACTAACTAATTATATATAATTTAATTCAGATCGTACATATAGGATGTAATTCAAATACACACGTCAAAGTGACTAGAGATGATCGAGTAACTTTTTGTAACAAAAAAAAAATCAAATAGGTATTTATTTATTAGTAGGTATTATTATTTAGCATTCAACAGAATGAAAAAGTTATTCTGTAACAAACAACTTGACCTAAATCTCAGGTTATGATTGGGTCACTGTTACACCTGGCCAATAGTCTTTTATGGTTAATGCCTTTTTGGCGTGGACCATTAAGGAGAAAATATGCCAAAAGCTGGAGGCCCCTGAGATGTGGTTTTACCGTCGTATGCTCCGGATAAGCTGGGTACAGGGAGTATCAAATAATGAGTTACTCCGATGTGTGAATAAACCCAGACAACTCATGAAGACCATCAAGAGAAGAAAGGTAGCCTTTATTGGTCATATTTTAAGACATGAGCGCTATCTTCTTCTCCAGACTATAATCATGGGAAAGAAAGAGGGGATAAGACGCGTCGGAAGAAGGAAGAAGTAGTGGTTCCGAAGCATCAGAGAGTGGTCTGGTGTCAGTAGCGTGGAAGACCTATTTCGTCTGGCACGAGACAAGGACAAATACGCAGAGTTGACGGCCAACCTCCAGTAGTGGAGAGGCCCCATAAAAAGAAGGAGAAGGTATTTATTTACAAAATATAGATTATTTAGTAGGAAAACGACTCTGCCCCACCTGATGTTAGGTGGTGATAGAGTCCAAACACGAAGATAGCTGATACAGCAGTTATAATTGTGATTTACTTTACTTCATTTAGGTAATATTTCCACTAATACGAGAAAAACCAAAGTGTCGTGGAACTTTTTTGTAAACCGAGGCAGCATACTTTAATTTGAATTTCGTTTGACATCTTAGGAATAGACATAAAGAAAAATCGCTTTGTCAATTATTGTGTCATGTTCTGTTTACACTGAAGTAAGTTTTATATGTTTGTGTTATTTATAATCTTCTATACGCTCTAATATACATATAGTTTTATCCCTGAACTTGCAAGTGTTTCGTTTAACCACGTAGAGAAGTTCGGGGCAAGGCATAGCGCCGGTTACTATCCACGAACACAAAGGGAGGAGCCTTAGCTTGAAGCGAGACCAATCATTTATCTATGGGAGGAGCTATATATATAAGTAAGAGCATCTTTCCGGAAAATAAGCCTCACCATAGATAAATAGGGCTCCATGCAGACAATGTTAAATTTGGCCTAAGAACCAACACCAATTTGGCATTCATGATAATTCTTAGTTTATTTTTTGCGATAATTATCAGTATTTAGATTGTGACGGACACTTCCAGTTAAGTAAGCTAAATTAAAAAGTTAAAAAATAATCTGAGCCTACCATTTTGTGTGTATAATCTATGGCAGCGCTGCAAACAAAACACTTTCTTCCTAATGCCGGCACTTCACGTGGCTATTCGTGTTTGCTTTTTGAAAACTTGACAGCAGTCTGTCCTTTTTATTCTATTTTGACGTGACAACGTCTTAAATTAGGTTGCGGCTGGGAGTCACTTATGAAAAAGTGTAACGCTCGGTAACGTTACGATGAGTCTCGTAGCATGCTGGAACCCCGTAGCCGTGTAGCAAGTTTGCTACGAATCGTCGTAGCGTGGTTGCATGCTACGATGGTATTCACAAGCACAATGCATTGTAATATGTTTTTTCATTCAATTCCTTGTACCTATTGTGCAATTTAATTATATTCATATCAATAAATATTCTACCGAGAAAAAGACGTTGTCACGTAAAATCTTCGCCCGTAAAACCGACTTTACAGGCAACCATTTTTTTTATTATTATTTTATTATTATTTATTTAATCGAATAAAAATGAATTAGTTGTCATATTAATTCAATTCATACTGAGTTCATACTAAGTTCATAGGTTGACCTATGTTTCATTTAATATTAAACATAACCTCAAAAAATATTAAATTTTTCTGATAATTTAAGTTCTCAGAAGTGTCCGTCAATAATCTTTGTTTTTATAGTCATTTACTTGCAATTTCGAACCTATAAAATAATATTTCATGATTGTTGGTTCTTAGGCTAACAATGTATGGACGCAGAACAATGTCCTTTGTGTGTACTTTCCTTTTACATGATCGTTGTAGCTTGTGACGCATTTCCGTTTCATCTTTTCCATAGGATTTTTCCATTAACACCCCGTCCGCAAAGTATTTCCACTTCAAGAATAGATGATTGCTTATAGCTTAAAACTTTAAAGTTAGGAGTTGGGCTGTTTGGTGTGTTAGAATATTGACTTATATAAAAGTTCATTTTTAAATATAGAAAACCCATGCTGAGGTGTTTTAAAAGTTTGGTTGGTTTTTTAATTGTAGTTTCTTTTTTAATTGTTAAATAATTAATAATTGAGCTTCTGATAAAAAAAATGGTGTGATTATATGGAAACTACGATGAAAATGAATAGAGTCTGTGCGGAAAGAGAATGGGATTTAAATTGGAGAGCGCTGTAGTGCTTTTCTACAGTATTTGTAAGGTTTTTTACCCCTTTTAGACATGAATAAATACAAAAAACCGCAAGAAATCACAACAACAAACAAATCCGTATCAATACAAAACTTTGACGTTTTACAGATTGCTGGGTTTGATTGCCAAATAAAAATCTTAATATTAGTTCCGTTTTTCGCCACGCCCATTCTCTTTCCGCACAGACTCTACCTGCATAATAATATGCGAAGAATATGATTAATATGATTTCTGATTTGATTTCTAAGCTTGGATTAGTAAGTCCATGTTTTTTCTCTGTTCATTGAATGACAAATGGCGTTTGTGTGACATGATAAAAACACTGCGTAACTAGTCTAAGCTTATTCCTAGGTGAATAGTATTTAAGATCGTCGTAATTTATTTCAAATAAAAATTTTCGAAAAATCATTTGAAACTAGTGGCCCGCCGTCGCTTCGCTTCGGAGTAGAATTGATCAAAATCATTTCTTAGCTGCCTACGTCATAACATCTACCTGCATGCCATATTTCAGCCCGATCCGTCCAGTGGTTTGGGCTGTGCGTTGATAGATCACTATGTCAATCAGTCAATCACCTTTGAGCTTTTTATATATAGATGAAAATTTTTGCAAAATTATTTGAAACTAGTGGCCCACCCTCGCTTCGCTTCGGAGTAGAATTGATCAAAATCCTTTCTTAGCGGATGCCTACGTCATATCATCTACCTGCATGCCAAATTTCAGCACGATCCGTCCAGTGGTTTGGGCTGTGCGTTGATAGATCACTATGTCAATCAGTCAATCACCTTTGAGCTTTTTATATATAGATGAAAATTTTTGCAAAATTATTTGAAACTAGTGGCCCACCCTCGCTTCGCTTCGGAGTAGAATTGATCAAAATCCTTTCTTAGCGGATGCCTACGTCATATCATCTACCTGCATGCCAAATTTCAGCACGATCCGTCCAGTGGTTTGGGCTGTGCGTTGATAGATCACTATGTCAGTCAGTTAGTCACCTTTGAGTTGAAGTTAAGCAAGTTTCGCAGTGGTCGGTCATTGGATGGGTGACTAAAAACTTCTATCTCGAGCGCCTCCGTGCTTCGGAAGGCACATTCTCATTTACAATGAGTTATGTTTTTTTTGTGAAATAAAAAACTTTTACCGTCGTTTCTGTAAAGTTACTAGAGTTAAATAAAAAATACTAACTGCACTGCATCATATCGCTTGCCCGACGCCTACAACTGACTGAGTGAGAGTGTTGTTATCTTCCATGACTTTTTTCTACGATTTAGGACTAAAGTTTATGAATTTTATTATTAAGAGATGTGTAGTCAATTTATTTTTATTTGTGTCGTTAATTTCCTTTTACCGAAGAGTTATATATATTCAAATAAATAAAACTAGTTTTAACGGGTTAATGCACGAAACTTTATTTATTTATTGACGTTTCGCAGCCTTTTCAGGTCTGCATCGTCAGAATACATATCATCATCATCATCATCATCAGCCTATTAATGTCCCCACTGCTGGGGCACAGGCCTTCCCTATGGATGGAATAGGGAGATTGGGCCATGACCCACCACGCGGGCCCAGTGCGGATTGGTGGGTGCTAACGACTGCAAATGCAGCCGGGACCAACGGCTTAACGTACCTTCCGAA